TGTACAAGGTCTAGGGCAATATAATATAAGATGTTAGTAATAACATTATGAAACTAAAAAATCAGATTAATTCGATAAGAACAGGCTGTTCTGCAATTTTGCGATTAGTAGATACAACCTTCACGGTTGGATGCTCAACTATATAGTCGATGCAATAAGATTAAAGAAAATAAGTATTTTTGGTGGCAGCCTAGGGATAACAATATTTCACTAGCCCACAATCACACTATGCCCAAAGCTGCGTTATTTTAAATCGAACATATCAAACAAGTTGAGCAAACACATGGTAACATCCTATATATTACCAAATGAAAATGAAGCAAAAAAAAATAAAAAAAAAATGGCAAATTTAACTAACCCTTAGCTGTTGAGAATATTGTTGAATCAAGATGGCTGCAAACTGATCGGGAGTATATACTAGACTTGTTGAGTAGTATTGTGGCAAAAAGTAGTTGGCAATGTAATCATTGACGCCTATATTAACTATGTACAAACACTTGTTAAGGTAGTCTTTTGTTGCACCCACGTTTCTTCCAAAAAAAAATCGTGATATAATTGTCTTGTGATTCAGTAACTGTCTATTCAAGCTGATCCGATCACCCTATTGAGAAAAATAAGAGTCATTAGCTAATAGTTTCATTAACTGTAACTATGACAATGAGCTATGTTTTTGCAAATTCCACGCATGCAAAATGCACATGTGTCTTGTCTTGTCTTGTCTTATCTAATTTAATGTATCAAACGAATCAACACCGTAGAATTACCACATGGAATCCCGTCTCTTCACGAATTCCTGCTTCACCTGATGCATAATTTACACCTTTGAGGATCGTCGAGCCTCTTGCAGATGCAAAAGGTGGAATTGGGTTATCAAAACCTAGGAATTGGGCTGCATGAATGCAAAACAAATCCAAAAGAAATTAAATGTTAATAAATATATAATCACATTAAACTGAAATTCAGAAAAAAAAAATGATGAAGAAGAAGAAGAAATTGATGAATGGAAAATATATAGACCAAGAAAATCCGGGATATTCCGGCCATTGGAGAATCTGCCGGTCGGACCGTCGGGATAGTCAATCCCATATGGTGGATAGTTGGATTTTGCCATGGTAACAAGAAAATTGTTATTTCCATTGTCAAAACTTGAACTTCCCATGAAAAATAAGCAGGGAACTAGTGGTTCACCCTTGACAAATTTTTGGGTTTTCATAATTATGAACAGTAATATGGATAACATAATCCATGTTCTCAAACAAGAATTCATTTTCAAGAACCAATTCAAGAAATCTATGAGCTTAATTTGGAAAATGAAAACCCAAATGTAAACTATATATAGGGAGCTTAACTGTTCATTAAGAGGCATTCTGAGGACAAAAACAAAAAGAAGATACGGATATTTTTTTCTTGTCATTGACCGACTTCCTTCTCTTCTTAGTTCTTCCCATTTCATAGTCTCAAAAATAAAAGGAAAAGAAATTGAGAAACCCATGTCTTCGTTCTTCACTTCCTCACGACTGACATCTACTCTCTCTCTCTCTCTCTCAAAAGAAAGACTTTGATGAATATCGTTCATTTGAAATTTATCCTCACAATTTACTGTTTCACGTGCGGACAAAAAGTGGCAATTTTGATATTTCTCACAAGCCACAACTATTGACCGAGGAGTGGACTGTTCATTCTTCAAATCTCTCCCATCTATGCCCGTTAACCAATTTGAAATTTGCTTCTTTTGATACTTGTGGACCCGTGGTTGTTGTTGGTAATTGTGATATAATGTAGGTACATATGTGACCCCGTTTGATAGGGTGGAAAATGAACATTTTCCACATTTTTGCTTGGTAGGGAAGTGTTCCTTGCCAATTCTTGCCCCCCCCCCACACGTCATTTTTGCTCCTTTGTACCGACCCCCCAAGCGTGCGTTCATTTTCCTCATTTTTGCTTTTAGTGGTAAGCAAGATTTTCTTGGCAATTCTTTTCTCACCCACCCCCACACGTGCACCATTTCCACCAAATTGTAGAAAATCTTTTCCCACAATTTAGGTGGGAATTGGTTTTTCAGGTCTTTTTTTTCTGTAATTGAAATAAATTTTATCGTCAATTGTAACAAATTTTATTCTTTTAAAAGACAAATTTCATAAAAAACAAAACCAAACGAATATCAAAATATCCAAATTTTCAGGTGAAAAAGTATATCAATCAAATACAGTTAATTGACAATTTCCTGAAGAACAAATTCTAAACCATTCAATTATCTGAAATTTATTTTCATTCCACCCAAATTTCACTCTTACAATCAAACGGGCTCTTGATATCATTATTGATGGAAAATATTATGAAGTTATTGAGAATAGAGTTTTTTTTTTTTTTTGATATCCAGGTATCCTAACTTATACCAGACTATATCCTGGACCACCCATTCCCGGCCCCTCAGTGATGGGTGGAGGTTAACCACGGGATATGCCCAAGTTGACCAGGGTCTGTGCACCCTTTATACTCCTGACCCCAAGGGAGCCTTCCTCCATGGATATTACATCACCAAACTGCTCCACCCAAATTGAGTATTACAACACTCAGCTGCTCCATCCAGGAATCGAACTCCCCATCCTTTGACAAATTCATTGGTAAAGTGAGGTGCAGTGGTTTTTTAATTTTCCAGGTAATAAATGTTGTGTGCCAAACCGCTGTCATCACTGTTCATTAAGAGGCATTCTGTGGACAAAAACAAAAAGACGATATGGATTTTTTTTCTTGCCATTGACCGACTTACTTCTTCTCTTCTCCCATTTCGTAGTCTCATAAATAAAAGGAAAAGAAATTGAGAAACCCATGTCTTCATTCTTCACTCCCTCACGACTGATAATGAGGAAAATAACTTCATTTGCATTAGGATTATATTCGACTAGCTTAGGAACTTCAGGCTGACGTTAGAGAATGAAGCTGAGCCCATTTTGGTATCTTGCCAACTCATATTTCAAAAGATTCCTTTAGAATTTAGGTGTCTCCAACTTAGATATTAATAAGTCTCAACTAAATCTAAACGTCCTCAATATCTTGTGAATTTATAAAGACGATTTTGCCATTGGTACATCACCATGTACAGAGGAGTGTATACCCCCCTCACATGGGGGTGGGATCCGCTTGAATAAAAAAATATTTTATACAATTATGTCCCCACCCCCATGTGGGGGGTGTACTCCTTTATGTACATTTTTTGATGTATATGTAGAATTATTCTTATAAAGATGTCATTAATTGAAAGGATTTTAAATGATGTTTGCAAATTAAACTAATTTTTAATTTATTGATATTTATTTACTTGATTTTGTATATTGTAATTTTGTTCAATTTGGTAGATAGAACAAATTTAACTGTTTATATTTATTTGCTTAATTTGTAGATTGATGAAATTAATTCTTATAAGTTACGACGTGATGAATAATCTGTAATAAACAATATTGTTATGAATTTTATTTTATTTTATTATGATAAAGTTATAATTTTTCTTTTTCTTTGGAGATCCATTAAAAAGTTACATCATTTATTGTAATGGTAAGAAATTCATTAAAAATTCTGTTAAATCCATCAAAAGTCTGTTAGAACAATAATTTTTATGTAATTGTAAGAAAAAATTAACTTATTTGAACATCTTTGGAAATTAAAATTTTGAACTTTCACTTCTTTTCAAGTTTAGTGACAGATTAGTAAATGGAGTACAATTTGACGGTGTTTTGGCTGTCTATTGACGAGCTAGCCAAACGGTGGTTAACGGCATCGTCGAGTGCTTGTGTTTTAACAGAGGGATGAAGAGTGGGGGCTGTACAACTTGTGTGGTTTTCTTCATGATTTTCTCATGTTAATGTTTGAATATTGCCCTTGTCGATTCAGTTTATTAACATTCGTGTCTTTTTTTATTTTTATTGCATATATGAACTGAGTTCAAATACAACTGCGTGAGACCCAACTGACACACTCAAATTAATTTGCCAACTATGTTTCTTGTTTTATGCTTGTAGTTCAATTGACTTCACGTGTATATATATATGATTAGTTTTTGCCCCGTACAATGCACGAATTGTGTTATTTTTAAGGTAATATTAACGTATTGAATGCTAAGATTAGATGAGAGATTGTATTACAAAATTTCCATGCACACATTTGTATAAAAGAAATAACATTTCATAGAGATATAAAGATCAATTCAAAATTTGAACAAATAGGGAGCGGAGCAATAGATACTATATGGAAAATGTCTCCAAAAGGAAAGTCCAAATTTACAAGAGGGAAACAATGCATCTTACAACGTGGAGTACAACAATTTATTTTTGTAAATGAGACTTTCACAGGGTTTCTTGTTTTCATCGGGTTTCTTGTTTCCTAAACTGACATAAAAATAAAGCAAATGCTCCCTTCAATTGAAATAAAAACACAAAAGCAAGTTGCAATAATTAAAAAGATTTACCTTCAAAGTTAACTGCAGTACTTTCACAACAGTATTTAAGTTTGAAATTTTCTTCTCATATATAAGAATAAGAGGGTCGTCCAATTCCTGCAGTTGTTAAGAGAGTTTTTTTTTTTTTGATAACCGTGGATGTTCGACCTAGCTTGTGCGCACCTCGACTAATTCCACGGGGCCCTGAGGTCAGTAACAAGTAACAATAGTAGAGAGACCAACACATTTCAAGTTCTTGTTATTTGTGAAGAAGTGCGTGAAAATATACCCTCTGTCCAACTTCATTCCCTCAACTACTTCCAATTCATCGGATGTTTTTCCATCCTACAACAGCATATGAACACCTTAGTTTACACATTTTAAAAAGAACTTTAAGATACAAATCGATGGCTTGTTTGGTAGTGCTTTTAAGAGCTTACAAACTGTGGATATATTACGAAATGGTGTTTGTGGGTATTACGGAATGTCAAGAGGAATAGAACATATACATTGAATTTAACAGCAAATGTTAGCTTCTAAGACCAACAACATAGTGAATTAGACATTAGTTAATTTCAGCGTTTACGTCTTTGTATGGAAAGAATACTATCAAAATCTACAAACAGCTAATTAAATGTCATAGGAGGTTATATTATTACACATGGAAATAGTCAAGACTCCATCAAATGCCAAGATTAAGACGTCAAGAAATTGATTTGCATTTATGCACTCAATTATTTTACCTTAGGGCTATGTTTGATATCCTTAAGGCTATTATTACACATGGAAATAGTCAAGACTCCATCAAATGCCAAGATTAAGAAGTCAAGAAATTGATTTGCATTGATGCACTCAATTATTTTTCCTTATGTTTGATATCCTTCTTTTTCCATGGAAAATGGAAAACACCCAAATGGTTGTTTGATGGAGTAAATTTTCCATGGAATTTCCCTTAAATTGTGGAAAAGCTTTTCCCACGTTTCCCGATTTTTTTTTTAATTTTTTTTGGCAATGGAAACAAATTTTATCTCAAATTGTAACAAATTATATCTTTTTATTGGACAAATTACATGAAAAATAAAGCCAAACGAACACCAAAATATCCAAAATTTCAAAAAACTTTCAGGTTGAAAATAGAACCAATCAAACACAACTAATTGACAATTCCCTCAAGAATAAGTTCTAAGCAATTCAATGCCCTGAAATTCATTTTCTTTCCACCCAAGAGCTGAACATTCAATACAGGTTTCAATCTCACGGAATTGTTGCATTATAAAGATGTGGGACTAAATTAGTGCTTTAATTTCCGAGTTTAAAATTTACCTAGGGAAAGGGCTTTTTTTTACGGCTTTTGGGCCATACTTTATCCATCTATAGCCATCTTCTATATGATGTACTTCGCTCTTTATGAAAGCAAATAGAGGTGTCAAGACGAACGGGCCTACCAGACTCGTGAAAATCGGCCCGAATCGACCCGGTACGAGGGCCGACCCGTGTCCCAAGCGGGCGGTTCACGGGTCAAGGAGGTGTGACCCGCGGGCTTCGCGAGTTGTACATTCACGGTCCGCGGTTAACCCCCTGGCCCGTAAAAAAAAATTTAAAAAATTTTGGAAAAAAGGGGGAGTGGGGAGCTAACCTAGTTGGGATGTATTTAAACTATAAATTATAATAAAAGTTTGTGCCAACCTAGTTGGGATATACTTATACTATAAGGGTGTGTTTGTGAC